GCGTCTCCGCCCCTCCTCGGGGGAGACCAGCGCCGCGCGCCGCGCAGTTTGCCGCAGAAACCGTCGATGGTCGCGACGAACGCGGATGCGTCCTCCGATTCAAATTCGCCGTCGTAGGTGGGCGGTACGGCGTGCGTGCGTGCGTGCGCCGTGGTCACCGGGCGTGCGTGTATGCACCCGCCCGGGACGGACAGTTCTTTCTTTGGTTGTTTGTGTGTATCGCGCGTGCGAGTCTCGCGACGCTTCATCATGCCCTGTAACGTACTACTGCTCATGTTCACAGTCCCCCCTCCCTGCCCCTGCCCCTGCCCTGCCTCTCGCTCTCGCCCTCTCTCCTCTGTGCGCCTTCCTTCGACATTCCTTCGCTCAGGTCGTCTATTCTATCGTCACATACGCCATACCCTACTTACCCAGTGCTGCCTGGCGCTTACCTACGTTGCCCCCGGAAAAGTGTTTCGTGCGTCTCGGACGGCAGCGTCATTCAGAACGCCGTAGCCCTCTCTATGAAATGGTGTTCAAACAACCTTTGTGCGCTATGCGCACGCTACGTACACGCCGATCGGCGCGGGCCGCCAGCCGTTGCGCGCACCCAGCTTCCTCCAGCCTGCGGGCAGCGCCGCGTCCGGGGCCTCAGCGTCGCCCATCTCCGCATCGTCGTCGCCCGCTGTACTTTGGGCGTTGCCCGCAGAAGCGGAGAGCGCCAGGAGCGTACTCAGACGGCGGTCCATCACGTCGATCGTACTCTCGTCCCAATCCTACACGGTCGGCGGTGTGCGTAAGTACGTTGTGGAGATGGCGAGGAGACGACGTGCGCACCGTGCCAGATGCGGACGCCTGCGCGGGGGGCTGGCTGAGCACCGAAAGCGCAGTGGCCAGTTTCGGGCGTTCAGCGCTCAAGGCGTGTAGCAGCAACGCGCTGGCTCTGCCGATATATCAGGGGGATCTCAGCACGCGGGTATTCGGTGATTCCTTACGGTGCACACGTACGACTTGGCGTTGCCTGGCGAGGCACGGTCGGGCCCGAGAGCAGAGACGATGCGAACGAGCGCGGCGTCGCGGAGGTCTTCCAGGTCATCTGAGGAAGACGCGCTCGGGGAATTGTCGACGAGCCATTTGGCCCAGCTGGCGAGGCAGAGGTCGTACGAAGGATCTGCCCTTGGTTCGTCGGCAGGTGTAGGCGCAGAGAGCGAGACGATCTCCGGACCGTCGAAGCTTCCGCTCGTGTTCACACTGGGACTAGGTGTGGGTTGCGCGAGGTGGGCGGTTATCGCGGACACGAGGTGCAACGACAGCGTTGGGTGTAGGGACTGGAGGTGGGTCAGGAGAGGAGACCAGATGAGCAGCGAAGAGCGCGGGAGGGCGAGGGTATCAGGCCCTGAAGACAGGCGTTTTCTGTAAGCAGCCATACTATCAGCAACCGCCTCTTTCGTATCGTGCAGTATCCGACCGTCACTGACTTTTTCGAGAGGGGTACGAGCGCTCCTCTCTGGATGAGCGCTTCTGCTAAACGGTCCAGAGCCCACCGCTCCCTGGCGTCCTCTTCGTCGCCGTCGGGGTACGCATCCTCCCAACCAACGGCCCCCGAGGCGGCAGCAGACGCAACCTTCGCCTCCGCAATCCAGCGTTCGACCTCTCGAGTCGCCTTTGTGATATCGCCCCGCAATTGCACGCGAAGTGTCGCGTCACGCGTCGTCGCCTTCAACAAGGTTTTATACTGTTTCAAGAGCGGAGCCAGCGGGCGCAGGGGCTGTGATGGCGCTGTTCCAGGAGACGATGGATTCAGAGTGGGCAAGAAGTAGTTGTGAAGGAGCCATGCCATTCCCTGAGACGATAGGCTAAGTTCACGATCGATACGTCTATAGAGAGGCCATCGTACCTCCCGGGCAGCATCTCTCAGAACTTCCAAACTCGGTAGGTCTTCGTGGGTAGCAGCGTGCCGGAGTTCGACAAACCAGGCGGGGAGGCCCAACTGCTGTGCGATGCTGTTGATCGACCGCGCGTATGCGCCGAGCTGCAGGGGGTCTACAAGCCCGTTCACAAGTCGGATGAGCGCTGCGGCATAGCTCATGCGTAGCGAGAGGAACGAGGAAGAGGAAGCCGCTGACGAGTTCGGGCCATCTTGAAGTATCACGGAGAGTATCGCATGAGCCGATTCGAGGGCGTGCGGCAGCGGTACGGCCGCTTTCCAAACTGCTAACTAGTCCGCTGAGCAGGGACGCTCTCGGCTGAAATGAGGCGTGCGCGACGTACCCTATTCACCGCGCGTCGTTTCGCGTCTAAGTCATTCTCTTCCGCGTATATCCACCCACAGACCTGCTCGAGCTCGTTGAGGTCTTGCCAGGGAACGCGTCGAGGGAGACGCATGGCCGTATGAATCCAAACTCTCAGCCACCGCTACTGGGCGCTTGTTGAAATTCGCCGAGCGCTTGTGTTCCACGTGCTGAGCAGCGTCCACTTTTGGGCATCCAGGTACAGTACTACCTTCTGCACGCTGAGCCTGCTCCATCGACGACTCGCCTCGCCTCACTTCACACTGGAAGACATTTCACTATAATTAAGATGTTCTTTATAAGAAAATGTCTCTAGCCCCGCTATTCAATACCAGAGCGAGTGGTCAACATGCCGACTCGTAGGGCCTCACGGTACAACCCACTGCTGACCAGACGCCTACAACTCGAAAATCATCCCTGCTTCTTCTCGCTGTACCAACACAGGATGATCACATAGGTAAGAGTCAATTTTATCATGTTTGGGACCATTCTATTGGTTCAAAGCCGGCAAAGGAAGTTTCTCCATGAGTGACAAAGCGCTTATAGGCCAAGAGTTGCGCTGACATGAACACTGCTCAGCCATTCCCGGCAAAATCGGAGCAATATACACTACCTTGTGCAAATCTAGCGTGGCCTCAACCTGCGGTACTACTGTAGCCCGTGAGTTGTTATCACGGTCAACACGCCGAAGGGTAACAGCCTGGCGATCGAGACCTCCCGAGACCTCGGAAATGCGGAAACGGGGCGGGTCTGTGCCTCCCTACATGTACACGACGATCCATTGCATCATACAGTACGCCAGATCTCAAAGCTGCCCGTCGGGCTTGTGTAAGTATCGCTCAAAAAGTATCAATCTGACCTTGTCTCCGGGCTCGGAGAATCGCAGCCGGGTCCGGGACTAATACTGCCCGAAGGATACCCGAGCCCACTCGCCGCGTTCCCAATTCTTCCAGCTCTAGAAGTGTAGGGAGGCGATAGGTATAAATTCGAGCAGACTTCGAGGAATGAGGAGAAAAAAACAAAGACACGCTCATCTCATACCGCACGGTCTCTTCCATCGCTGTCGCCTCACTGAAGATGTCCTCTAAACAGCTGATTCTGGTCAGTTACTTCATGGTCCGGAGTCCGTGGCGTGATTAAACACTGACGTCCGACTCACCCCAGGTTACCGGTATCAATGGCTTTCTTGGCGCCCATATCGTAGACCAACTCGTCAAGGCCGGCTACCGTGTTCGCGGGTACGTCGAGTTCAGAGTATCGGTCGTGCGTTCCGCTCAATAAATACATCCAGGACTGTTCGTTCCGCGAAGCTCGACACTGCTCGGCAGAGCAACGCTTCCTACGGAACGGATGTCGAGGTCATCGCCGCTGACGACCTCGCTTATGGGGACTTCACGGATGCCTTGAAAGGTGTGGATCTTGTCACCTCTTCCTTATTCACAATTCCCTCACATACGACACACGCGCAGGCGTGCACGGGGTGATCCATGCAGCGGCACCCCTAGTCGGCAGGGACTCTCCCGAGAATGCGCTCACTGTGAGAACGACACCAGTCTTTTGTGTGAATATGTACTGACGATGTCTGACTGTAGGCCGCAATCGAAGGGGCCCTCAATATTCTCCGACAAGTCGAGAAGGCCGGAATCAAACGGTTCACCTTGGTCAGCAGTATTGTCACTGTTGGGAGTGCGAATAATATTACGCGCCCGTGGACGGACAATGGTATGTCTACAACATCATCATAAGCTCAAGATTGAGGGCATTGACGGCGTCGCCCCCACGGACAGACTGGGTGGCGGTTAGCAGAGAAGAGGCGTTGACGAGCAAGGATCCGAACGTCGTCTACGTTACTGAGAAGACACTCGCCGAACGGGCCGTCTGGGAGTTAGCGGAGAAGCACCCCCACGTTGATGTCACCACCGGTATGTTTTCCTTCGTCTCGCTCACTCGAAGCCATCGCAACCATGCTCATTGCGCGGGCACGGTATATTCCAGTCAACCCTCCGTTCTTCATCGGACCCTTCGCGCCCAACTTCCGGTTCTCGGACGCGCTCATCAAGGAGCTCAGCACGAACTTGCTCTTCTACGAACTCCTCAAATCCGACGGCACGTTCCCCAGCCCTGCCCTGCTCTCCGTCGACGTCCGCGACGTCGCTCGCGCGACCGTTCTGTCGCTTACCGCCCCGGCACGCAGCGCGGCCCCCGGCGAGCGCAAGCGCCTTCTGCTCTTCCCGCACGCCGTCAGCTGGAAGGACGTGGCGGAGTACGTCGTCGCCGCCCGTCCAGAGCTTAAGGACCGTATCTCGAAGGCTGCGCTGTCCGGGCAGTACCCGCATCCGGCGCCGCCGAACCCTGTGGACAACACGAAGACACTCCGAATTCTGGGGCTCGAGCCTATCGACTGGAAGACGGCGGTGCTTGACGCAGTGGATTCGTATATCGAGGTAGAGAAGAAGTTTGCGAAGGAGGGGAAGACGTTCCATTAGCTGCCGCTTGCAGATGTAACAGTATGATGCGTACACAGCATATCACTGAACGATGATATACATATATACTACTGTAATCCTCAATCATTGCGCCCTCATTACTCAATATTTGAAGGCACCCAAGGCGACAACCTGACACGGCTGGTTCGTAGACTGTTTGCTATGCATTTATCAGCGGGACCTCGTGGCAATGGACGACTCCTACGCAAACCAAACTCCGAGCGTCGTAAGGAGTAAAAACAAATGCCAGGAGCGTGGATTGAACACGCGACCTTCAGAACACAACCTCCTCAAATAGGCGCTTCAGTCTGCTGCTCTCCCAGCTGAGCTATCCCGGCGATGTCGTTCAATGGATCCCTTGACAACACAATGGTACTGTAATACCAGCCCATCCAACCTCCCTTTCACGAATGGGGTGTGTTTTGCCAGCTTTCGTAGTACTTACGAGGATCTGCGCACTTAGTGAGTACAGACAGGCCCGTCTTGAATACATGTAGATCTTGGGACGTACCGTGATGGAACGCATACTTATTCAAAGCGTCGTCGACAGACATAGGCGCCACCGGCGGGGGCTCGTCGGCCATCTTCTGCGGAGGCCTGTCCTCTGTGATCTCCCATCCACCGGCAACATGTATGAATGGGAAATTCGCCGTCGGAAAGAAGATGTCGAGAGGCGGCCCCGGAGGAGGCATCGTCGGCACGGGGTCCAGTTTGTTCACGATGCGGAACGAGTACCTGCCCCCGCCGGCTCGAGTGCGAGCGTTGAACTCCTGCGCGAAAGGCTCGAAGCAGGTGCGGGGTGCGGCGAAGCTGTATACGTCCCCAAATTTGAAGCTAGAGAATGCCGGCTCGGCATCGCGGCGGAGGAATTCGCCGTATGCGAGGGTGCAGAGGCCGCCGCCGAGCGAATGGCCCTGTTACCGTGATAAAGAAGTCAATAATGTCCTCGTCGGGGTTATAAGAGAAGCAAATTTACAGTGATATGGAGCTTAGCCTGACCATCGTAAGCCGAGGAGAGCTGCTTGAGAAGTACGCCTACCATCAGGTGTATATGTGAGTAGAGTCCGACGCCTCGTCAGCTCAAGTGGCCGGCCACGCACCGAATGGGGTCTGGACTTCGTTGTTGGCCGTGAAGTCTCCGAACAGGTTGTAATAGAATCCTTCATGGATCTTTGCACCCCATGCAATGTCCGGTAGAAGGGGTGTTATCGGCTGCCAGTCCTCGTCCGTGGCTATGTCTGCATCTGAATTGGAGCCCTTTGTGGTGCCACCGACGCAAGGTTAGTACACGGGTCGAGTTGGCGAGGGGATATCTACGATACCTTGAACGCTATGCCCGCAAACGGCTTTGTATGGTCGTTGCTGACAAACAGCCCGCAGTAGGCTCCGCTGCTCCCGGCCTTCGCGTCGGGGCTTTTCTGAGCAAAGTCTTCTCAGGCCCAAGACATCAGCAGGGAAGCGGCGAGACGGAATCAACGAGGATATATGTACCGCAGAGCTGCACGAAAGTACAATCCAAGGCCTTGGCCTGCGACAGGTGCGATTTGGTACGCGTCGATATCTACCAAATGCACGGACAGTGTCCTCTCATACTCACTACGACGTGAATTAGCGCTTCGGATGCTTCAAGGTGGCTTAAAGCGCGGTCGTGGTCGCCCTCACGCGCAGCCTGAGCGGCCTTGCTAATCTCGTCGTCTTTGCTGTGTGGCGGAGTGCCGCTTGTCAGTTCGAGTTCTTCCATTCAAGAGAGAGATAGCGACATCACCGAAGATACATGGCGATGCTTTCGACGAAGGCAAGGAACACGGAATCCCAATTCGGCGTGGTTGGTGAGGCACTACTGCACTCTATCCACAATGTCATGATCAGCCCTGGTGCCAGGTTGACCAAGCGAGACACACCTACGGGCGTCCTTCGCAGCCTTGATAGCGTTGGGATTGTCGTTGATCCAACCGAGGATGACGGGCAGCAGCTGATCCGGAGGGAGAGATGGGAGGTCGTTCGAGCCGTCGGAGTCGTCCTTTGGCTCCTTGGGGACGTCTCGGCGTGCATCCACGTTCAGATGCGCGAGCTGCTGAACGTGCGCACGACGTATAGCATGTGCTGTTTCTGCGGAAGGAGGAGGCATATTCGAAAGGGACGCTGTGCTGTGATTGTTCTCGAGGGGGAGAGGTAACCTAGAGTCGTAGAGTACACCAGGCCGCTCAAGCTATATTTATGCTCCGAGGTGGGAGGGGAACGTGAGTATCTCCGGGTCGCAAACCTAAGCCAACGGTTGAGTTCGGTGCCCCCAGGGCCTACGCAGCGCATGACTAACCAGCGGTGAGAGCACCTTGGTGCGCGGTGATAGACTCCAAGACTTGCACTAAGCTCAAGGTAATACCATCACCCATGCGAGTGGGTCTCTGGACGACTTGCTCGCAGGCTGTCGCCCGCCCTACCTTCCACACAGGCTTCTCAGCGTCCGGCACGAAGGTCCAGATGACACCATGCATGGAGATCGGTTTCAGTGAAGCTGCGAAGATGAGGCGCGTGGACGACTTATGAGCCCATGCGGGAACAAAGCGGCAAGGCAATGACGGGCGTACCTGTCAAAGCCGCTGTGTAGCTCCGTACCTTCTTGTCGACTCCAGCTCTGCACGGTCAGCAGGGCGAACGGGATTCGGAGAGAACGCGGGGAAGCATATATCATACCTGACAAGAGAATCAAGGGGTGCCGGCGAGGGGTGATAGTGGATGGGCGTATCGGAAACGTCAAGCAAGAATGACGTATCGTAAATACTACCGTATATGCTACAGGAGGCTACCGCTCGTATATGCTCGCCCAATAGATGATGCCACGCTAAGATGAGGTGAGATGTGTGTAAAGTCCGTAATCTAGTGGAGTGGAGGGGATGGTGTCGTCTCTAAAGGAGGTCTTTCCAGTACTCGAGCTCGTCGTCCAAGTCTTGATGGTGTTGATACGCTGGGCCGACGTACTTCCCCGTCTGCTCCAGCATCCACTCCAATACGCGTGGATGGGCGCGGACCCTGAGTACAGCAGGCAGGTCAGCTGGAAGGGAATAGGTCCGATGGAACGGGCTCGACGCACTTAGTAGGGTCAAAGTTAATGACCTGCAGGGTCTCCATCCGCGTTGCTCGCGACAGCGCGACGTATGCTACGGAAGTCAGAGCTTCAGCAAGGGTCCATGACGTTGAGGGAGATGATGACCGTACCTTGTCCCTTCTCGAAGATCCGGTTCAGGTCTACTCGCACACGCTCCAAGGTCTGGCCTTGGGACTTATGGATACTCAGGGCCCACGCCAGGATGAGCGGCACCTACGCACATAGGATTATCACCATAAGCGCTACAGAAGATTTGAACGTTATACGGGTTGTGCAGAGGTGCACATACCTGGTGACGGATAGCTTCGACTGTACCCTCCGCACTAACGACCTCGAACGTGAGGGGCACGCAGAGCTGCGTAACCCCGCACTGGAACTTCACCGCAGGCCAGACATGGTTCATCTGGAGGATCTGCTTGATCCTCTCCTCGCGCTGGTCAGCGGCTTGGCTCCGAGGGACCTCGACATGCGGGGCACCAGGAACGCCCTGTACGGCAGGCTCTTCGCGCTCCCGGGAGTCCGGCAAGGCGATCTCAATCCCCTTCGCAAGCGCCTCTCTCGGCCTGAGGAAATCAACGACGCGCCCGACGGAACCGTTGACGAGAAGCCCTTGTATGATGTTCTGGGAGCAGGCAGCGTTGGCAACGGCATGCGGGGGTTCGGGTAAAGCGGACCTGGAACTCACCTTGACGAGCATCACCTGTGCGCCGACCTTCAGCGGCAACTTCTTGGGCACAATGACGTCTCTGAAGGCACGCTCGACACGCTCAGGAGGGTACTCCTTTCCGTTCTCATCTCGGCCCGGGAGGTCCCTAGAGTCGAAGACCATGACCGATCCCGCCAGTTTGCGCAGCCGAGAGCTGTTGGCGCTCTCAACTTCTGCACGGGTAGGGTAACTTGCGCGGCGTTAGGTATGATGCATGATGCTCTGCTTAATAGGGAAAGGCGCTTACAGTTCGGTGGGCTCGATACCGTCGTCATACCGCACCGTCCGGGAGAGTTTGTGGAACGCACGCGTGGTCTTCTCGTCCAGACGCCCGTATCGCATGGCGTTGAGCATGTTGACGAAAGCTACAGCCATATGTTACAAGGAGCCGCACAAGGGATCAGAGCTGCACACTTACTCTGATCCTTTTGTCGAAAGACTTGCGTGAGAATGACGGGAGGTCCCACACAGCGCGACCAAGATTCGGCATCGAACGCGAAGGTTGCCGGAATTTGCGCCCCCGTCCCGCTTTTGTCAGGAACGGGGGGAAGCTGGCAGAAATCGCCAGACAGAACGAGCTGTTGGGGTACGTGGTATCGATCACCGATGAGAAGGTAAGAGTGGCCGTGCTGACCTGTATGCCACCGAAGGGTAGCTCATTCTGCCTGAGTTGTCGCCCAACATATTCCTGTAGGACATCTCCTGAGTCATAACTCAAAAGAGTACCTAGTTGCACGCACCAGTTTGTCAAACAGCTTCCCGTCTATCATAGAGACTAGCCGGAAGAATTTAGCCAATACTTCGCCTGTTGCGCAAACATATACTCACTCTCGTCGATAATCAGAGTTTTGCACTCCCTCCATCGGTCAAGGACCTTGTTCTTGCGTTCCTCCGGAGGGGCATTCAGAAATGCCAATTCTGCTCCAGTCAAAATTTCACCCTGTCCCTGCCTCCTCTTGAGCTCGTCACGTCTCTTTTTGTCGAGCTTATACGCCTTCATGGATATGCCCAGAATCTTGCCGACAAGAGCATCCTTATCTTCCTTGCCAAGTCCGATACCGGCCCACGAATGCAAGGTGCAGCCGCCAATGTTGACAGAAGCAATGCCCGTCGAGGCGGTCACACCTAACTTAATGCTCGGGCGCCCGCCACGGAGCTTGATGATCTCTCGTAGAAGGACGGATTTTCCAGTGCCTGCAGCAGCCATGAGCACTAGCTCGTCGGATACAGCTTGAGTTGCATACCCGCAGACCCGGTGAAGAAGACACTGTCTCCACGCTTCACCATGTCGAGGACTCTTTGTTGGTCGGCGGAAAGCTTTATTTCCGGCGCAGGACCGGGTACAGAAGGCGGCACAGGAATGGGTATAGGAGGTTTAGCTGTTGGCTGTGTTGGCTCGGACATCGGGACGTCACGTTGCGACTGGGGGGCTGGTCGTGGAATATCCACTAACGTGCGGTCGTCAACCTCCATGTTATCGTGGAAGAACTCCTCGTCGGGCCACTCGTCGACTTGTTCCTCTTTGA